GTGTGCGTGTGTGCGTGTGTGTGTGTGCGTGTGTGCGTGCGTGTGTGCGTGTGTGTGTGTGTGAGTGTGTGCGTGTGTGCGTGTGTGTGTGTGCGTGTGTGCGTGCGTGTGTGCGTGTGTGTGTGTGTGAGTGTGTGCGTGTGTGCGTGTGTGTGTGTGCGTGTGTGCGTGCGTGTGTGCGTGTGTGTGTGTGTGTGTGTGAGAGAGTACAGGTTTGACTAAAATATCCTCACAACTCAAAAATGTCCTCACTAATATAGTGAAACCTGTTGAACACATGCAGACTAGTGAACTGGGTTTTCTATTTAAATCTGATGCTTTACACAGGTTTGGGTGATGTTCGAGTTAGGACATATAAAATATCATTATCCTGATATAAAATGTTAATGAGATGAGCTTACTAACACAGTCAAACAAACGTCTGTGTATCTTTCCAGGTTCATCTGTCAAGCAGAACCTCTGATTCTAAAGGCTTCTCAAGCTTGGGATAAAACATGTTTTAACATCGTCAGAGGGGAGCTTTGAGAGTCTAGTTGTATTGTAAGTAGAGCGTAGCAGTCTGTGTGTAAGTGAGTTATTGAACTTTCACCTGGTCCTCATGTTCCTTTATCTTTCCAATTAGTCACGCAGAGCCCGAGTCGAGTCCTGTGATCCGCAGCATACGCAGAGCAAGACAAGCTCAAGTGCTGCCATATGTGCGCGACACCATTCACAGACTCTCTCATACATATTGCACAGGCCACAGAACTCAGAATAATTGAGTATGAAAAACTATATCCATAACACGACTCTCTACCGACTGCGCTCTCTCTCACACATGTGGCGGGGCTCTGGTTTCTAATCATTTCTAATTCTTTTATGTAAAATTATTAAAGTTTTTTTTGCTTTGTTGTCAGTTTTCACAAAGCTTTTTGAAAAGTTGAATATTAAACAGAATACACAATTACCACAAACACATTGAAAACATTTTTTTTCATTCATCCAATTAAAAAATGTAGGGTACATTTTTTTAACTTGAGCCAATGGGCAAGTTATTTATTTTTCACTGGCTTAAGTTAAAAAATATAGATGTGAATCATTAACCTACATTTTTTTAATTGGATGATTGAAACGTTTTTTTCAGTGCAGAATAAGTGACAGGCCGAAACTATCACAATAAATTAGTAATAATAATTGACTAGAATTTACTTTAGTTTAACAGTTGCAAAAAATAAGTATGTTTACAATGAAATAAAGTTCCTAAACGGTTTCCATTTGAGTATGCTGACATGACAGTCAGAACATGAAGTCCTGGACAAACAGACAACAGGGCTACTAGTACAATACACTCAACAGAGACTCAAAGCAAGCTACAGTGCAAATAAATAAGCCAACAAGATTTGTTCCTCATGAGGATGAGGAGGAACAGCTGTTCTCACATGCCCGGTCTCATGAAAATGCGTATTAATAGCACGATTTTCTGTTTCTGTTTGGCGTGCTATTTATATGCAGAAATTGACGTTGGTGTGCACATAATATGCAATTTTCGTGTGCACGATACGCAATTTGTTTGCGTGCATATACTACGCACCTACCCCGCACCCCTAATCCTATGCGTATCATATGCACGCCAAAGTCCATTTCTGCATATAAATAAGACGCCAAATAGAAACAGAAACTCGTGGCATTGATACGCACTTAGTTTCAAGAGCTCGGGTAGGGATGTAGAAGCAGTGAATGGCATGACTTCTACATGACTAGTCCTTTGTGATTAATAGATTGGGATTTAAAACAGACGG